CTGCCACTATCTTGGCGTTAATTTCTTGGAGAGTTTCTTCAACAGTCTTGACCTCAGAAGGGATGTCGGCTGGTGCGATGTCGGGAACAGCTTCTTGGACAACCTCATCGTCTTCTTCATCTTGAGTCAAGTCTAGGACTTGCTCATTCTGAAGAGGGGACTTGGCCCCATCAGCATCTTTTGATTTTCTAATCAAAGCCTCGTCCTCTTCCTCATCGGCCTCATCCTCAGCATCAGATTCGCCGACATCTTCACTAGGAGTTGGGGCTGGAGGAAATGACAAGGGAATGGCGTCGGCCTTCCGCAATGGAGAGTCATCAAGAACATTAAGCTTTTTAAGAAGGGACATCCAACCAAGGGTGAAACCTTTGTTGCATGCCTCCTTCACTTGTTTTTCGTAGGCCTTAGTAACGTCGGCCATACCCTGTGAGTACGCCTTTTTGTCAGCGTCTTTGATTTCAGCTTCTTTGGTGGCCAAGGCCTCCTGAAGCTCTTTTTCAACTTGGGCCATTTTTTCATCGGCCTCTCTCCTTTGCGATTCGGCCACCTTTCTAATGGCCTCAGCAGCCTCAGCATTTTCTTCAGCTTCGGTCTGAGCCTTGATGGCTTCCTCAGCTTGGTCTTCCAGTTTCTTCATTTTTAACTGGAGGCCTTTATTGGTCTTTTGGAGGCTAGAGACCTCCCTCTTCATCTCAGCAAGCCTCTCCCTGTTCTCAAAAGACTGCATTGAGAAAGAGTGGGCATGTTGGATGGCCTGAAAGAAAATAGAGGTATTAAAGAATATTCAAAGTGTGAAATAAAGAGAAAGAAAAATTTACCAAGTAGAAGACGTTTACCTGAACTGAGTGCTGTAACATTAAGGCATAGTTCTCATACTCGCTATACTGGGCGTTCCGCTCCAGGTCACCTGGGAGAAGTAGAGCGTTACTGAGTGCAACGCCGACATTGATATCATCGGCGCTGTCACTTGCCATTACGGGCTTATCCTCTAGGGTGATTTCGGGGGCCCAGGGGGCATCTGGTTTCTTTGACCCCGAAGTCGTTGCAGTTGACCTCGGCCTTTTTGATTTAGAGGATTCGAAAGGAGGTACTTTGGCAGACCTCTTCGAAGGGACAGAGGCAGTTTTCTGACTTGGAGCCAATTTTGGGGCTGGCAAAGTGTCCTCAGTCTCAACCTGAGTCACTTTCGCCTTCGGTTGAGCTTTCTTAATTCTTTTTGGTTTTGCTGGAGGTTGGGTTTGTGTTGGTTGTTCGTCAATGGATGATGGAATGTTGGCTAGGAGGTCTTTAGCAACTGGCTTTGCGCGACCCATCTCAGCTGTAAGAACAAGACGTCGGCGACGCTCTCTTTGGGATGGTGGAATGAGGTATGGAGCCGAGATCGACGGCTGTTCTGCTGGATCAGAGGTTGATCCTTGGTCTGTTCACGATGTTGATGCAACTGGAAGAGTTGTAGCAGAGGGAGGAAATAAGCTCTTCTTTTTCTTTTTCCTGGGGACGTCGGGGAGAACTGATTTGTATGTTGGGATGAAGTTAAGAAGTAGGGGTGCCTTTCGCTTCTGAACTGGCAGGTCCAGTAATTTCTTTAAATCGTTGCTGGGAACAAAGGATTGACAAAAATTTTTCGGTGGCTGACGAACAGCTGCAAGAAGAACAAAACGTTAGAAGTAGACAAAGTATCTAAGACTTTAAAAGAAAACAGGCAAAGCTAAATATTGGGCTCTTACCCTTGCCCTCTAAAACTGATCGGGGAAGAGGGTAGAGACGGACGTCCTCGTTTGGAGCAAACTCCCAATTTCCCGAGGTAATGAAATAGTCATCTCCAGCCCTTTTGTTGGAGTCTGGGAGGTCGGCTACGATTTTGAATTTTGTAGACCTCGGCTTAAGGTAATAAATTTAGCCTTTTTCTTTCAAATTAAGGGCACACATGGTATATCAATATTGGATATCGGCTAGGGTGATCCTAACGTTTTCTTGTTTAGCTAAGGCAATAATGCCGTAGATCACTCGATAAGAGTTAATGGCCAGTTGCATGGGATTCAACTTGTAGTAATGAAGAATCTTACGAAAAAGGATATTAAGTGGAACCGGAGTCCACATTAGATAAAGGCAACCACAGGGAAGGGCATGGAGTTTTCAATAGGCATGATGGAGTCATCATCCCCAACCAACCTCAGATTGACATCGGCTGGGATTTCAAACTCTTGCCTAAAAAATTCCAGCTTAGAGGGGGTGTTTACCCGATGTTCCCACATACCCATGATGTCGGGATAACTAAAGGTACTGGGTTTCAATAAGAGGATGGTTCAAATACGGTTATTAGGACCTCGGCAAAAAACCTAGGTTTTAGTTGATGAAGAAATTTGAAAGGGATATTTCAGTTTTGCCCTAAAAATGTGGGTTCTACAAACAAATCCCAAACCTAAAGCTATGAAGATGAAGATCAAAGGCGCAGATCTGGAAAAGATACAAAAAATAGAAAACAAATATGAAGTTTCAAAATCAAGAACAGAGATGGATCATCAAGAACATGAAGAATACAAAGGGTTGAAGGCCAAGAACAGTGGCAAGGCGTGCAAGAAGAACTATGAACAGTACATGTATTTAGGGCATAAGCAAAAAGCGGAAATCAATACATTCAAGTGTATGAATCGCAAATTAAAAGTTTCAATAGATGCAGTAAAGGCAACAGGTAATGAAGAATGTTAACAGAATTGAAAACGAAAGGAACAGTAGCTTACCAGAAAAAGGGAAGCCGGAAAAGGATTTGCCGATGTCCTACGACGGTTGCAGGAGCAGAAGACCGGTGAAAATCTCGTCGGAAGGGGTGAACGGAGAAGGTTGCAGAGCTTTGGAAGCTTGAGCGATGGAGGGTTTCGAAAACTAGAGAGAGATAGCAGGAGATTCGAATAAAAAAGTAAAGAGACGGAAAAAAGAGAAAAAGTTTTTGATTAAACAGAAATGGCGGCAAAAGCAATCAATACGTCTAGAAGAACGAGGGCGTCAGACGGCGCACATGAAGAAAGATGCGGCTAACAGGCGCGTCATGTGTACGGACCAGTAAGAGGGAAACGCGTGGCTAAAACGGTTGAGTAAATGATGCGTGACAGCTCACACACGTGAAAGAATTCACTAGAATTCTTGTTCTCCGAAGAGAACATGTCGGCCTGAAAATAAATGATCTCGACTGAAGAGTTCGAAAGCCGATATACAGGAAAAAGTACCGATATAGGTTCCATCACCTCAGAATGCCGAGGTAATAGAACCTAGGGGGCAGTTGTGGGGATATATTTTTTGAATACCAACACGTGGCAAGGTGACGCCGACGTGTCAGCCGAGATGCCACGTGTCCTGGTCGTGACGCCGAGGTGATCTCGGCAAGGCCGAGGTTATCTCTGAAGATATCAGAATTCGAGATAAATGGATAGGGGGCAAGAGTCCTAGAGTAAAAAGGAAACTTTGCTAAGATAAAGACAAAACTCTTAGGGAGTTTATCTTTATCTCTTGTGAAATCCAAAGTAAGTACTGAGTTGGAGTCCATAGAAGTCAGGCTTCTAATGGGACTAGGATTAAGTGAACTATAAAAGAGAGGCACCCCCGTGGGTCTAAGGTACGCAATTTTATGCTTTGAGTAGTGAGTTTAGCACTTGATTATCTTTGAGAGATATACTGACTTGATCGTCGGAGTGCCCCCGGGTGGAAGAGCCACCGCCGGAGCCTTTTCTTTCTGTTACAGGTTAGCTGAAGCCATCTATTCTGCCGGTGCTCTCTAGTTGATTACTAAACGGGCAGTGTGATCAGAAAATCACTCACACAAAAACATATATAAAAACAAACAGATGCACTTGGTAAATATTTTTTTTTATTTTATATAAAATAGATTCAATCCCCTTATTTTTCTAATCTCACTCAAAATCTAGACAAGCTAATCCTCCTATGTGAGGGTATTTATAGTCCCATGGGATTACTAATCCCTTTCTATTTTTGTCAATCAAATATAAACTATGTAAAACCCGCATGATTGATAGTCCAATTCTCTCACCTACGAAGTCAAATAAACATAATCTCAGTGCTCTTAAAAATTTTGATTTGCAATTTCCCCAATTGTAAAAGAGAATAATGATAATTTGAATAAGTAGTGGTATTTTGAAAAATTAGTAAAAAATTAACTTTTTAATTTATTTTTTTTGGTAACTTTTTAATTTTTTTATGTTGAAAAAATTGACATTTTTATAATTTTTTTTTGGATATTTACCAATAAATCCTATTTGACAAACAGTTTTATCGATTGGTCCTAAGGTTATTTCTATTGTTCTGATTAGTTCTATTAGTGGGGGAATATCTTATCAGTTGATCCTATTTCCTTTGTTTGATAACATTGAGTGGTTAAATATACCCTTCCTTGTGTATGTCACGTGACATACATCATTCCAAGGCAAAAAGCATAAAGAGCCTTAGTGTACTTTATTGATGTGTGGCACCCACCGATCACCCTTATAAAGAGCCTTAGTGTACTTTGTTGATGTGTAACACTCACCGATCACTCTCAATGTGACACGTGCCAAACACTGTGTGTCACGTGACATTCATTATTTCAAGACAAAAAGCATAAAGAGCCTTTGTGCACTTTGTTGATGTGTGGCACACACCGATCACCCTCAATGTAACACGTGGCGAACACAAATTTTGGAAACACACAAACATGAGGCTGTGCCACACCACACCATCACCTATTCAAACGTTCAGAAAAATATACAGTGGTATTTACATTATTGAGCAATAGAAAGGACCAAATATATCAAAAGAAATAAAGTTGGAACTAAATGAAGCACAATTTCAAGATTTAAGATTTATTGATAACTTCGTGTTTTTTTTTTTTTTTAATGACTTTATTGTATAAAAAAAAGTTAAAAAACTAAAAAAAGAGAAGATTTTTTACTGCTTTCCCAAAACACCTACGACACAAAATTTTGTTTTTAACAGGGAAAAAAGGCATCGTATCAAACCAATAACAACTACGCACTGCACACGACTTTCCCCATCTCTCTCTCATGGCGACGGCGGCGGTTGCCGACTCCAGGAAGCTCCCACGGCCAGGGCGAGGCGGCGTAATCTCCCACAACCTCACCGAAGAAGAAGCCCGAGTCCGAGCCATAGCAGAGATAGTCAACAACATGGTCGACCTCTCTCGCCGCGGCGATACCGTTGATCTCAACGCCCTCAAGTCCGCCGCTTGCCGTAAGTACGGCCTCTCACGCGCCCCCAAACTGGTGGAGATGATCGCCGCGCTTCCCGAGTCAGACCGCGACTCTCTCCTCCCCAAACTCAAGGCCAAGCCGGTTCGAACCGCCTCCGGAATCGCCGTCGTGGCTGTGATGTCGAAGCCTCACCGCTGTCCTCACATCGCCACCACTGGGAATATATGTGTGTACTGTCCTGGAGGACCTGATTCGGATTTTGAGTATAGTACTCAGTCGTATACTGGATATGAGCCCACTAGTATGCGCGCGATTCGTGCCAGGTTAGTTTTATTGATGTGAATTGAACATTCAGATTGTGTTTGGTTGTTGAGAAAATTGTACCATATTTTCCTTTGATTGGAATACAAAACTTTATTCAATTGTGCCCTCTGGAATATACAGCTCTCTCTCTCCAGTGCTTTTTTTTTTTTAAGGTTTTGAAATTTTCATTAATTGGAACACAAGACCTTAGACAATTGTGCCTTTCTCTAGCTGATTTTTTAAATTTATTTTTTTTACTAAGATTCTGTTAAATTTAAAATAAAAAAAGAAAAGAAAAAAAGAATCTTTATGTTTCATGAGATTTCTCAGCAATCAAATGATTGGAATTTGGAACACAGCTTATTTCATGATATTTGGTTCCTGAAAAGTTGTAAAAGTTGTTAAGAAAATTGTACTAGATTTTCCACTGATCGGAGCACAAGACAAAACCTTCACTAGAATATATAGCTTTCTGGTGTTAATTTTGAGTACTTTTTATATATTTTTTGCTGTAGTCGCTAAAATTATTTAGAATGTAGAATTTGAAAAAAATAAAAATAAAAATAAAAATTATTTCAATCAAATGAGGATTGTTTTTATTTATTATTATTATTATTTTTTGATCGTAGATATACACTTGCGTTTTATATGTGAGTGGGCAGTTGATTGATTATGTATTGTCATAGGGGGACTTTTTTTGTTAGAGGAGTTAGTGTTCAAATGAATACATGGGAGTTTGAATCATTTGGTTGCAGCTTGAGATTTTCTATGAGGACGGCATTGTAAAGAACATAGTATATACATGCTCTGTGAGGGATTCAACAGAGGGGAGGTTTCAGTATTGTGGCTGCTATTTGTTGATATATTAGGGAGAAACAGAAGTGCCGACTCCAATAATGCCACACCTTGTGTTATAATGTGAATCTGTTATAACCAGTGTTATGAGAAAATGCTAATAACCTATTGGTTTTCCACCTTATCTCCAGTTTTATTAATTTGGATCTACTAGAATCCGTTTATCATTATGTGAAATTTTTTATGAGTGTCTATGTTTTGTAGTTAATATTTCACGAGTTAATCACTCTCTGTGATATTGGTTTTAGATATACCCGTATGTTCAAGCTAGAAGCAGGATAGATCAACTCAAAAGGTTGGGCCACAGTGTTGATAAGGTTTGTTGTCTTCCATATTTTTCAATTTTTACTTGCAATTGTACAAAATGAGATGATATATATTTAAAAATCCTTGTTCACTTGTTGTAAATGACTGTTCGTTTTGCAGGTTGAATTCATCTTGATGGGAGGTACTTTCATGTCATTGCCATCAGATTACCGTGATTACTTTATAAGGAATCTTCATGATGCTTTATCGGGACACACTTCTGTTAATGTTGAGGAGGCTGTTTCCTACTCGGAGCACAGTGCTGTAAAGCGTATTGGGATGACTATAGAAACGTGAGTTAAATTTACAGTAAATTTTCAGAATATAAATACTTACTGTTCTTCCTTCCCTCCTTATTCTAATTGCTGCTAAAAGTTGTAGTTTATTCATGTATTAATATAAAGATGTATGCTTGAAAATTTTAGTTGACTGAATGCCTTTTTATTATGTTTAAAACTATTAGGAGGCCCGATTATTGCCTTGGACCTCATTTGAGGCAGATGCTTTCTTATGGTTGTACACGACTGGAGATTGGAGTTCAAAGCACATATGAGGATGTGGCTCGTGACACCAATAGAGGCCACACAGTAGCAGCCGTGGCTGATTGCTTTTGCTTGGCAAAGGATGCTGGTTTCAAGGTTCTCCGCTGTCCCATCTTATAAATTTAGTCCTTCGGTTTGGAATCTCAATTTAAACTTTTGTGGTTGCAATGTTGGTTGTTTCCTCACAAAATCACTTCTTCTAGCCACTGTTGATTTTCCATTTACATGATCAGTAGCTTGAACTTTGACTTCTTGAATAACATTTCCAAATTTGGCCATGTTCTCTGTTCAAGTAGTCAGAATTATTTCTTAAAAACTCTAAAGGGAGTTATTCCCATCGTTTTAGTCTAGCATAATAATAAGAGACACATGTTTCACATAGTTGTTGCTATTTAATGCCATCTTAATGTCATTCCTCTTGAAACTTCTTGTTTGGTGCCTTACTATTCTAAGCATGCATTTTTTGGGATAGTTCTTTCTTTGATTTTGTTTTGCTTCCATGTTACCAATTTTGATGCATTTCTTCTAGGTTGTTGCTCATATGATGCCTGATCTTCCAAACATTGGGGTTGAGAGGGACATGGAAAGTTTTAAAGAATTCTTTGAAAGCCCTTCATTCAGAGCCGATGGGCTTAAAATCTATCCTACGCTTGTTATTCGTGGAACTGGGCTCTACGAACTTTGGAAAACAGGCAGGTATAATGTCATTTTTGGTTTTTTTTAGGTCTTAAGACTCACCTTTAAGACTCAACTTTTTTTTTGGGGGGTCCCTTTTGGGGGTTATTTGAAGTGATTATTCATTTCTTTAAGAATGATCTTTCTTGATATATATGCATAAAAATACTCTCTATTGATCATAAAATACAGTGTTGACTATGCTGACAAATTGCCTGGTCAAATGAAAAGTGGTAATTAATAGTTAATATCATGTTCAGGTATAGAAACTACCCACCTGAGCAGCTTTTGGACATTTTAGCTAGGATCCTAGCATGGTACCCCCTCGGACACGTGTTTATAGAGTTCAGCGGGATATTCCTATGCCTCTAGTTACTTCTGGGGTTGAGAAAGGAAATCTTGGGGAGCTAGCCTTAGCTCGGATGGATGACTTGGGCTTGAAATGTCGAGATGTTCGAACACGTGAAGCAGGAATCCAGGTAAATGAACATTTTTATTGTCATTTGGACATGCTATCTGCTATAGACTGCATTAAATTGAAATTTTTGTCAATTGTTGTGTATTTAGGACATTCACCACAAAATAAAGCCAGAGGAAGTTGATCTTGTCCGCCGTGATTATACAGCAAATGAGGGCTGGGAAACGTTTCTGTCGTATGAAGATACACGCCAGGTCTTTCTCTCTCCAAAAATCCTTAACAATCCCAACACCACATATGCACACACCTCATTGTGCATTCTGCCACTGCGTTTGCATTTCATCTCAATTGGTATGTCAGCATGCTCCATTATTGATCCCAAATGCAGCATGATGTCTAGGCACCTGTTCTGTTCACATGTTGTTGGAAACCTCCGATTTAGGGGCATCAGTGTATGATGGCAGTGAATTGGTAGTTCACCTATCTTTCATATGGTGCCCACTTACTGTTATGATTCATCCAATTTCTCACTATATTCCTATCCGACCTCGGTTATTCCTTTAGTTGCAATATAACATGACACAGTTAATTTTTCTTTATTTTCAGCAGTTGTCAATCATGTGAAACTATGAGTCCTACCTATTTAAATTGTGTTGTGTAAACATCACAACAACTACAACAAATTGTTGCATTGATTTTGATGACTAAGATCTGACTAACATAAATCGGTTAGCATGCCCAACTTCCCAAAATATGTTAGAATTAGGTGATTCCTTGTAACAGGATTCTAACAGTTCTTGTTAGTAATACTATAAATTTGTTGAACATAATACGCAGCTGATTGTATTTGTTCCAAAGCTGGTGTGCGTTATACTGGTATTTGGTTTTTGCGTTCATTTGATCTCTCAACTTGTTCCAAGTTTGTTTAGTGAATGTTCCGGTTATTTTACTACTCATGGTTTTGACCTCCTCATCCATGAGGGTAATGAAAAGAGCCTCATTTGCGAGGCTATGGACCACTGTTTCCTCTACCAACTTCAACAACATCATCATCATCATCAATGGGGAGATCATTGTGTATTGTTGTTTTCATTGCCTAAATACCATGGTGTGAAAATAATCCATAAATTTTAATAAGTCTTCAAGAATAAATTCTAGGACTAGAAATGCATAACAGTTCTTAATAAAGGAACTAATAGCCTAAATACCATTGTGTATTCTCTGTGTGGGTGGGTGCTGTGTGTTTATGATTCATGTTTGATTTTACTAAAATTCAAATTAGCTTGAGTATTTTTATCCATTCACTAAAACATGAGCAAGTAATATATATTATATGCAGCAGAAGATTGTTCCCATTTAAAATCCCAAATCCTCGATCTATTGCTGAATTAGGTGCAAGGGAAAAACAATTTGACAAAAATGACAAAAACCCAAGGTTTTAAAAAGCGGCCGCAACCGTTACGTAACGGTTTTGGTGGTTACCGCCACCCGTTACGGCCGCTTTTGCAGTGATTGAGATTTACAGGTGTGTCGGCCATAGCGACTGTTGTAGCAGCTGTAACGGTGCCGTAACGGCCTGTTACGCACCGTTACGTAACGATTTTGAACTGCTTATTTCAGAAAAAAAAAAACAAAAAAAAAAGAGCTGAAAATGGGGGAAGAGGGATAGAGAGAAAAGAGGGAAGATGAAAAGGGAAAATGGAGTAAGAAATAGAGAGAGAAAAGAGAGAAGATGATGAACATGTTATTAATTTGTTAAAATTGCAAGACCTATGCTATTCTATTTAGCTGTTATTACTCAACCATTTTGTTTGTGTGCGTCTATCTATATACTGTTTGATAATAATAATAATAATAATAAGTGTGATCATTATCTACATATATATAGGCTATTATTTATTCTTTTACTTTTGTCATTGTTTAGTGATTGATTTTTTTGTAAAATATCTAGAAAACATAATACCTATAATTATATATTAATAAATTTTTTATACATGTCAATTTTTTTTGATTATTTTATTTTATTTTATTTTTATTTACTAGTTATCCAAAAAGAGAATGAATATTCAAGTGATCCAAACCTAAACAAAAAAAATTTCTTTATAATTTATTTTTTAATTTTTGTATGATTATATTAGCATGTATAATTTATTTTTTAACACTATTCAAATTAAAAGTTGCATATGCTTCCACAAATATAATAATTAAAAAAATAATTTTATACATCTAAGTTCAATATATATATATTTTTTTGTTGCCACAAGCATAATATGGATTTATGACATATAAAGTCATTAATTATTAAAATAAAATATAAAAAACTTAGTTTATAGTGATTTAAAAATATGAAAAATATTGGATCATATTTAAAAATTTAAAAAAATTGATCAATATTTATTGTAAAACCCAATAAATATGATTATGGAAAAAAAAAATATGCATATCGGTAAGTTTTTTTTTAAATTGTGCGAAAAATGAAAAAATTTACGGTTTCGGTTACCGCAACCGTTACACTACGGCCTTTACACCCTGCAATCGCAACCGCAACCGCACCACCGTCACCGTTACGGCGACTGCAACCGCTTTTCAAAACCTTGTAAAAACCCCATTAAAAAACATAGATGAGACACAAGTTAGCTCTGCTATCAGACTACAAGAGGACCAACATTCAGGCAACAATATCATTAAAATCCACTAAATCTAGTCAAGACAACTAAAACATCTAATGCATGGAAGTAGGGGCAAAGTGATGCCAGAATTACTACAATAATTCACTAGGCAATCCACTCAAGATAGAAGGGACATTCAACAATCAATCACTAATCATGATGAAAATACATTAGACTCATGTTACCTTGAAACAGATTTACCCTACTGAAGATCCAGAAAAAGGGAAGGAAACAAAATAATTGTAATTGCTAATATGCAATTTACCCCACTCAAGATCCAGAAATTCAAAGCAAAATGAAAAATCACAATGACAAAAAGCACATGTCAAAACTTACCACCTAATACTAAATGAATTATACACAATACAACAATGACTATCTTCATACAACCCAAACAACAAACAACCCAAAGGGCTATCTTCATACAAATTGCCAACAACAAACAAAAAAAGAAAAAATGTCTAGCAGCTACCACCAGCAGTATATGTTTTTTTAAAAAAAAAAAAACAAACAGACAAACAAATTTACAATGGATCTAGAACAGGTCTACAAAGAACCACCAACAATATTTAAATTTAAAAAAAGTAGATATGTTGTTAAAAAAAAAAAAACAAAACGGAAGCTCTTGGTGAAACAGGGAGTGAGAGAGAAGAGAGGGAAGAGAGAGAGAGAGAGTGACCTGAGATTGATTTGGTTGGGAAATTTGCAAAAGATCTGAAGATTTGCAACATATCTGTTGTTTTAGAAAGAAAAAAAAATCATGGAAGCTCGGTGAAACACAGAGACGAGAGAGAGAGAGACCTAAGATCGATTTGGTTGGGAAATTTGCAAAAGATCAGCAGATTTGCAACAGAGTTGTTGTTTTAGAAGGAAAAATAAAAAATAAAAAATAAAAAATAAATAACATGGATGCTCGGTGAAACACAGAGAAGGGAGAGAAGAGAGGGACTGACTTGATCTTCAAGATTCTTTCAACATGAAGTAGAGGAAGAAGATAAGGTTTTTTTTTTTTGATCAGATGAAGATGATAAGGTTAGATACAACGTTTTATTTTACCATTGGAGAAAATAAATTGAAATGCGGTGCTCTAAAAATTCGAAACGTGGTCGTTGTTATGCCCACAACTCATTTACTGTAGCTCCGCTACAATGGCTCCGCTACAGTGGCTTCCATTTTTCTGTTTATAAACCAATGGAAATACATTTTTTGAGTTTACATTTTTTTTGTCAAATTTATAAACTGAAAACTATTATTATAAACCAAAAAATTTTCCAAACAAGTTTTTTATGATAATTTTTAAATTTTTTGTAAATATAAGCTGAAAACAAAATGGTTACCAATCAAGGGCTTAGCAACAAATTTGATAAATTACATTTTAAATTAATAATTTTATTTTCATTTATATTTTAAACTCATCATGAAGGCACGGACATACACTGGTCTTAACTAAAATAAGCCAATCCCATGTTTGATTTAACAAGTTTCGAATTGCATCACTTTGAGGCAGACTCTCTCTCTCTCTCTCTCTCTCTCAACTCCCATATCCATAACCCACTATCAACCTCCAACCATGCTTAGATCAATCTTCACTCCACTTCTCCACACCATCCCCTCCAAACCCAAACCTCCAAACCTATTTTCTCACTCCATCTCCGTTTCACTCTCACAATCCCCACCAACTGTTCGACAAAATGCCTCGCCCACCGCCGCCGCCACCACCACCACCACAAACCCACTTCACAGTCTCTCTCCAACTTCCGCCTACATCCACCTCCCTTTCTGCCACAAACGTTGCCACTACTGCGACTTCCCAATCGTCGCTCTCGGCTCATCTTCAACCCAAGCCAACGATATCAACAACGACCCATGAATCTCCAAATACATCCACCTCCTCTGCAGAGAAATCAAGGCCACAAACTCACAATTCAACCACAACCCACCTCTCAAAACAGTCTTTTTCAGAGGGGGTACGCCTTCTTTGGTACTGCTGAGGCTCGTTTCGTTAGTCCTTGAGACATTGAATTTGAAATTTGGGTTGTGTTTGGATGCTGAGATTTCCATGGAAATGGATCCAGGGACGTTTGATGTTGTGAAAATGAAGGAGTTGATGGGGTTGGGTGTGAACAGAGTGTCTTTTGGGAGTTCAGGCATTTCAAGATGAGTTACTCAAGGCTTGTGGGAGAGCTCATGGGGTTGACGAGGTTCATGAGGCAATTGGGGTTGTTGGGACATGTGGGGTTGAGAATTGGAGTATGGATCTGATATCTTCTCTACCTCACCAAACTCCACAAATGTGGGAAGAGAGTTTGTTGCTCACCGTCAATGCAAGGCCTAAACATGTATCTGTCTATGACTTGCAAGTTG